GAGTCACCATGAGCACAGCGGGGCAGAAGAGGAACTTCTCGCTCCGTGCCAGGAGAGGAACCCGCGTGCAGGCTGAGTCAGGGGGCTGCCCGGAGCCCCCCCCTCCAGGTGAGGACCGCGCAGGGGGTGCGGTGCCCCCCCGCGTGCTGCCTTTCCCAGGCTCTCGGCGCGGCACAATGGGCTCTTGTTTGCAGGACCAATCCAGATAAGCAGGGCAGGTCCGCGATAGGGAGATAGGGCTGCCAACACCGCCGCGCTCCATTAATTACCTCCTGGCTCCGATTAGCGCCTGTGCGTGAGCCGGCTCTGCTGCCCCCGCCCCGCGCTGCCATGCATTCCTGGGGCCAGCCTCGACCTGCCCGCCTGATCCCGCCTAAGACGATTACAGGGCACCGTCCCGGCCGCCGCACCGCGCCCCGACGGGGCTGCGGCACCGCTGCGCCCGCACGGCCACGGCACCGCACCGGGGAGCGGAGAGGCACGCAGCGCCGGGGCCGGGACCCGCAGCCGGCAGCGCCACGCGGGCAGCGCTTCGTGGGCGCAGCACCTGCGATCGTCCTGCGGGAGACCCGCAGCGAGGCCCCGCGGGCAGCACCCTCACAAGAAGCATCTTCAGCTGCGACGTCCGTGCGTGCACCACTGCCGTGTGCGCCATCCCTGTGAGCACCATCCCCGTGTGTATCGCTGCCACGTGCACCATCCCTGTGTGCCATCCGTGTGAGCACCACTGCCATGTGTACATCCCTGTGTGCACCACTGCCGTGTGAGCACCACACACACGCCCCAGGCTCACGCTATTGTGTTGCACACGTTGGTGCCTAGGAGACAGGGAGAGGCCGAGAGCTCCACAGCTGCCCCACTGCCCGCCAGGCGCGGACACGGAGCTCTCTACATCCATCCACTCCCGTGGAAGCCGCCGGTGCCCATCCCCATATCCGGTGCCGCCGGTGCGGCACGGAGCGGCTCAGGCCGTGCCGTGCGCGTGGTGTGGCGGCAGAGCGAGGAGCCGGGCTCACCGCCACGTCCCGGCCCGGCTCACCCGCGGCTCCGCGCGGTCCCGGTGCCACCGCCGCCCCCTCCCGTGGCGGTGACCGCGGGATGGATCGGCGCCGCCCCCCCGGGCTCAGCCCCGCGGGGTTTTGTGCTGCGCGCTGCAACTTCGGAAACCGCCACCAAAAATATCGCCCGCCCCGCGGTGACCTCAAAGCCGCCGGGGCCAGGAAATGAATCACGGCGCCGCGCTGCGCCCCCGCGGGACCGAACCCGAACCCCCCTACGGGGACGCGGAACGGACCCGCGGCTCAGCCGCACTCACCCCATCGCCCCGCGGCGTCCCCGCGGTTCCGGGGCTTTGGCCGCCGCCGTCCGCCGGTCCGTCCGCGCCCCTGTCCGCCCCGCGGGGCTCTTATAGCGGTGCGCGCGGAAGAAGAGCGGCGGCGACGGAGCGCGGCGGAGCGCTTTGTTCCATCCCAACGGCGGCGGTGCCAACTCCGAAGCGCTCCGCCGCAGCCACACCTCCGTGCGGCGGGGGGGGCACGGCCGGGGGGCTCTCCCGGCGGGGGCGGGGGGGCGGGTTGGGGGCACAGCCCGGTTCGGGGCGGGGGGCGGCCCAGCGTTAATAGCGGTGCCGTGTAGGGAGCGCCGCCCGCACCCCCGCAGCCCCGCCAGCACCGCCCCCCCGAGTCCTGCGGGGGGGAAGGGGAAGTGCTCCCGGTGCCCCGCAAAGAGCGAAAGCGCATCTCGGTGCCCGGTGCGGGGCGGGCCGCCCGGAGCCGTGGAACGACCGCAAGGGTCCGCCCCGTCCGCACCGAGCGGGGTCCCGGCTCTGCCCCCCCGCATCCCCGTCCCGCACCCGAGCACCACCACGGCGGGCAGCGCGGAGCCGCCCGTGCCGTGAGCCGGGTTGGCCCCGCGGAGCGGCGGCACCGAGCCCCGCACCGTCCCGCCCTCGTCTCTTACCGGGGCTCCGGGCGCGGCGGGCGGCTCGGCGCGGCGGGGCGGGGCCGGGTGGAGCGGGGCGGATTCCGGAAGCCCAAATGGGCAGAGCCCCGCGCCGGAGCGGGGAGCCAACACCGAACCCGGAACCGAACCCGGAACCGCCCGACGGCGGCGGCGGGGATCGAACCGCCGGCCGGATGAGTGGAGTGGGTGGGGCCAGCGGGGGGCGGGGCAGAACGCGAGGGCGTGGTCACGGAATGGGCGTGTTCAGGGCGGGGCCACTACGGGTGTAGCGGAAGGGGCGGGACTTCCGGGCTGACCGGAAGTTTGACGGAAGCGGAGGGGCTGCCGGGAGGTGTGGCGGAAGGGGCGGGGCCGGGGCGCGGGGCCCGGAGCGGAGCGGAGCGATGCAGAAGTACGAGAAACTGGAGAAGATCGGGGAAGGTGCGGCCGGAACCGGGCCGGGAAGTGGGGCGGGGACCGGGGCCGGTCGGCGCCGTGCCCTGTTAGGCCGTGCGCCCTTACTGCTGCGCCCCCGACCCGCCGCAGGTACCTACGGGACGGTGTTCAAGGCCAAGAACCGGGAGACGCACGAGATCGTGGCGCTGAAGCGGGTGCGGCTGGACGATGACGACGAGGTGAGCGGAGCTGCCTGCGCCGGGCCGCCCGGTGCCGGGCCGGGCCGCGCCGAGCCCCGCCGAGCCCCGCCGGGCCGCCGAGAGCCGAGCCGAGCCGTGCCGTCCCGCAGGGCGTTCCCAGCTCGGCGCTGCGGGAGATCTGCCTGCTGAAGGAGCTGAAGCACAAAAACATCGTCAGGTGAGGCCCGCGGGCGGTGCTCCCTGCTCGGCGCCGGCCCGCTGCTGACGCCGCTCCCCGCAGGCTGCACGACGTCCTGCACAGCGACAAGAAGCTGACGCTGGTCTTTGAGTTCTGCGACCAGGTGAGCGGGGCGGGGCGGCCCCGGGTCTCCTCCAGCCGTGCCCTCATGGCCGCCTCCAACCCCCTCCGCAGGACCTCAAGAAGTATTTCGACAGCTGCAACGGGGACCTGGACCCTGAGATCGTGAAGGTGGGGGGCTGTGGGGGGTGTGGGGGGCACAGCCCTCTCTTCTCTCTTTCCCTCTCTGCTCTGCTGCTGTGAGGCCCCATCTGCAGCACTGCGCCCAGGTCTGGGGCCCCCAGTACAAGAAAGCAGAGAGCTGGTGGGGAGGGTCCAGAGGAGCCACAAAGATGATCAGGGGCTGCAGCACCTCCACTACAAAGACAGGCTGAGGGAGCTGGGCTTGTTCAGCATGGAGAAGAGAAGGCTGCGGGGTGAATCATTGCAGCCTTCAGCACCCAAAGGGAGCCTACAGACAGGAGGGGAGTCAGCTCTTGGGAAGGGGAGATAACAGCAGGACAAGGGGAAATGGTTGGAAGTTGAGGAAGGGCAGATTTCAGCTGGATGTGAGGGGGAAGTTGTTTGCTGTGAGAGTGGTGAGGTGCTGGAACAGCTGCCCAGAGAGGCTGTGGATGCCCCGTCCATCCCTGAGGTGTTGAAGGCCAGGTTGGATGGGGTCCTGGGCAGCCTGGGCTGCTGTGAAATGTGGAGGTTGGTGGCCCTGCATTGGTGGGGGGTTGGAGCTTCATGATCCTCGAGGTCCTTTCCAACCCAAGGCATTCTGTGATGCTGTCATTTTGGGCTGGTGGTGGCAGTGGTGCTGTGCTGATTCTGGGCTGTGCTCCTCAGTCCTTCATGTACCAGCTGCTGAAGGGCCTCGCGTTCTGCCACAGCCGCAACGTCCTGCACAGGGACCTGAAGCCGCAGAACCTCCTCATTAACAGGGTGAGTGCTGGGCCGGGGGCGGCACGCTGGGGCCCCCCCTTTGCCTCTTGGGGTCCCTTCGGTGCTCCCTCAGCCCCTGACCCCTTTGTCTCACTGCAGAACGGGGAGCTGAAGCTGGCAGACTTCGGCCTGGCGCGGGCCTTCGGCATCCCGGTGCGCTGCTACTCAGCAGAGGTGAGGAGGGGGCTGCTGGCTGCACCTGGGGGTCCCGGCCTCGCCCGCCCCTCCCCGAGCATCCCTTCTGCCCCACGCAGGTCGTCACGCTGTGGTACCGACCCCCGGATGTGCTGTTTGGTGCCAAGCTCTACTCCACCTCCATCGACATGTGGTCGGCCGGCTGCATCTTCGCAGGTAGCTGTAGGGCCGGGGGGTTGCGGGGTGCCCTGGGGGGGCCATCTGGGTTCTCACCCCATCCCTGTGCAGAGCTGGCCAATGCGGGGCGGCCGCTCTTCCCGGGGAACGACGTGGACGACCAGCTGAAGAGGATCTTCAGATATCCTTTTGGGACGCGGTGTTCATGTGGGGGGGGGTGAGGGCAGAGCCTTGCCGGGGCCCCGCATGTCCCACAGCTCCCCATGGCCCTTGACAGCCCCGCATGCTGCTGGGCACCCCCACGGAGGAGCAGTGGCCGGCCATGGCCAAGCTGCCCGACTACAAGGTGAGGGGTTGGGGGACACGGTGGGTTGGGGGGGGGCAGCATGGGGCCAGGCGCTCACGGCTGTCCCCAGCCCTACCCCATGTACCCCGCCACCACCTCCCTCGTCAACGTGGTGCCCAAGCTGAACGCCACCGGCCGGGACCTGCTACAGGTGAGCGTGGGGGGGGGAGGGGCATTGCTGTATCCTGCTGTGGGGAGGGGGCTGCTCTGGGGGCCCTCAGCCTCGCCCCCATCCCGTGCCGTCCCCAGAACCTGCTGAAGTGCAACCCGGTGCAGCGGATATCGGCGGAGGAGGCCCTGCAGCACCCCTACTTCACGGACTTCTGCCCCCCCTAAACCCACACGGAGCCGTGGGGGCAACGGGGGTTTGGGGGGGGCGGGACCAGGCGCCCCGTGCCCCCCCCCCCACCCGCTATTTATTAGGATTTTAACCCAGCTCCGCCCCGGGCTGCCTGCGTGCCGAGTCGGGGCCGTGCCGTGCCCCCCCCGTGCCGGTGTAGCAGTAGGATGGGGGGCCGGGCCCCACAGCCCCCCCAGCCCTGGTGGCGGTCGGGGTCCCCCGGAGCTGGCCCCAGGGGTCGCCCCTTTCCCGACCGCGCTGTCAGTGGGTGCAATGCGTCTTTGTTACCGATATAAAGAGCTTCCCCCCCCCCACTGCCTCCTTCCTGTGTGCCGCTACGCGGTGCGCCAGCCGTGCCCCCCCCAGAGCCAGCCGTGTGGGGCAGGACTTTATTGGTGCGAGGCGCGATGTACAGCAGGGCGCGGGGACAAGCAGCGCATGCAGGGATGCGGAGCGGAGACCCTGCAGCCCCCCAGCACCTGGTTCCGTCCCAGGGCAGGGGCTGCTCCCCAGCGGACCCCCCCGGCCGGCCGGGGGTGTGGGGCCGGGCCCCTCGATAGGAGAACTCCTCGGGGCGCCTACAGCCGAGTGACGAGGTAACACGTGCGGGGCGAAGGTGACACCGTCCGCGTGGCCGCGCAGGGCCCGATGGCCGTTCTGCAGCGCGGTGGGGGCGGTCAGTGGGGCGGCCGAGCTCCGTGGCCGCTTCCCTTCCCGTCCCACCGCCGCCCCGTGGGGTCACGCGGGGCCGGAGCTCCCGGCTGTGCCGTGCTGGTGTCCCCACGGACGTGAGCCCGGAGCGGCACTGCAGGACGCGCCCAGCCCTGCCGCTGCGCCCGGGGGGGGGAGGGGGGTGTGATGCATGGCGGGGGCCGCGCGGCCGCCCCACTGGTGATGGCGGGGATGAGGGGCCGTGGGGGTCCCCGCCGCCGTCTTTGTCCCGCACCCCCCCGCGTCCCCACGCGTCTACCTGGATGGGAGCGCGGCGGCGGGGCTGCCCGGCACGGCGGGATGCTCCTGGTGGGCGGGCGGACAGAGAGGAGATGATGAGCGGTGATGGGCGGCGATGGGTGGGATGAGGTGGAGGGGCAGGGGGGGTTACCAGGGTGGTGCTGCTGCCGCGCCGCATCCGTTTCTTGTCCTTGTAGAAGCCGACGAGTTTGTCCCGGAACACCTGGGGGGCAACGGGGTCGGTGCTGCCGCTCGGGGTGGGGCTGGGCTGGGGGCGGGGGGCTCACCTCATACAGGTAGTCGAAGATCTCCAGGATGGTCAGCAGGCTGGCGCCGATGAAGAGCCCCATCTGCCCCCCGATGTCCCCCAGCAGCCCCGCCACCTCGTACGCCTTCTTCTGCTCGATCATCTCGTAGTTGAGCGCCTCAAAGAAGATGTCCAGCACCAGCACGTTGTCCCTGCGGGGGGGTGGGAGTGGGGCAGGGGATGCCAAGGTGGGGGGCTGCGCTGCACTGCGGTGTGCCGTGCGGTGGGACTGAGCGCTCTGTGCGTGCCGGGGGTTGTGCCGTGCCATGCCGTGTCACACTGTGCCGTGCCCTGAGGTTTGTGCCATGCAGTGCTGTGCCATGCAGTGCCGTGCCGTGTGGCAAAGCATGCTCTGTGCTGCTGCATTTGTGCAGCAGGAGGGCTGTGCCGTGCGGGGCCGTGCTGCTCAGAGGGTGGGGAGGCACTGGAACAGGTTGCCCAAGGAGGCTGTGGATGCCCCATCCCTGCAGGCATTCGAGGCCAGGCTGGATGTGGCTCTGGGCAGCCTGGGCTGCTGGTTGGCGACCCTGCACACAGCAGGGGATTGGAACTGGATGAGCGTTGTGGGCCTTTGCAACCCAGGCCATTCTATGAGTCTATGCCATGCTATTCTGCAGCATGCCAGGCGCACAGCAGCACCGAGGGGGCTGCGCCATGCCGGGCTGTGCCGTGCCGGGCTGTGCCATGTCGGGGGGGTCCGTGGCCGTACCCCCCCGTGGCCCCAAACCCCACTCACGCGATGTATTGCTCGGTCTTGTTGAACTTCTTGGCCAGGTACCGCGCGGAGGCTTTGCTGGGGATCTTCACCATGGAAAGCTCTTTCCCGTAGCGCACGGTATCGCAGGGCGTGCGGCACGCGCAGTACTCGCTGTCCTTTTTCACCAGGAAATCTGCGCCGGGGGACGGCGGTGTCGGAGCCGTCCCCGTCCCCCCCACCCCCCGCACCTATCGAGCCCCATACGTACCCAGCGCGGGGTCTGCGCACTCCTTGTACTGCTCCGGCGTGCAGACGTTGGCGTTGCCTACGGGGGGACGCGGCGCTCGTAGGGCGCGTGGGGGGCCGACCCCCTCCCCGACCCCCGGCCCCGCTCACCGGGCATGTGCACCATGCGGCAGTTGCAGTTCTCGGCCAGGTAGCGCGTCTCGCAGTCCAGGCGGCAGGCGGTGAGGCTGTAGTTGGTGAAGAAGTCGGACTCGATGGGGGTGGCCTTGCAATCCCCCCAGGGCGGTGGTAGATACACCAGCTGCCGGCTTGGCTAAGGAAAACACGCGGCGCCCGCAGCCCCCCGTGCCGCCCCCCGAGCCGTGCCGTGCCGCGCCGTGCCGTGCCGTGCCGCGCCACCTCGGTGCCGGATACCCGCTGCTGCTGGCACGACACGAAGGTCTGGAAGCCGGGTGCCACGCCGAAGCCCAGCTGGTCGATGAAGGGCGGCTCCTGCTGGCTGTGGATCTGCACCTTCACCCCCGCCTCGTACGACGTCTCGTCTGCAAGCAGCGCGGGTCTGGGGCTGCGTGGGGCGGCGCGTCGCGCTCCCCTCCCCGCGGGGCGGCCGCCTCACCCGTGTCCCCCCAGACGGGCAGGTATTCCTCCTGCTGGATGTTAAGCATCAGCTCCAGCCCGTTCCCCGCGCCGCCCTGCAGCGTGGTCAGCAGCTCCGTGCCCGGCTGCCCCGAGTTGAAGGTGTAGCACTTGCCCAGACGGGTGAAGATCTGTGGGGTGGGACAGGGGCGGATGCTGTGGGGCGGTGAGGCAGAGCAGGACGCGGTGGGACAGGGAGGTGCCTTTCCCCACCGGCAGCCCCAAAGCGCGGTGCCCTCGGTGCGGGGTGCAGCTGGACACCTCCGTGTGGTGCTGAGGCACTCGGCTCCTGGGAACCCGGCGCTGCAGCCCCACGCTGCAGCATTACCACGGGTGCAGGTGGGGAAGAGGAACCGCCCCACACGGTGCCGTGGGTGCTGGGAGTCAGAGAGGCAGGCAGCACCGTGCCCCACGCTGCCCTCTCCTGTGCACCCCACGGCCTGTACCTCCCAACCCGCACCTGCCATCATCCCAAAGAGCACACGCCATCACCCCGCAGCCTGTACGTCCCACAGCACGCACCCCACCGCCCCTAAACCTCGACATCCCACAGCCGTGCCAGCGGTGCATCTCCCGCGTGTGCCGTCACCCCAAAGCTGCACATCCCCACATCCCGCCCGAGCCCCGCTCAGAGCAGATGGGGATGGGGGCAGGACCGGCGCGGGGCTGAGCGGTGCACAGCAGGGCCGTCGCAGCGGTGGCTGTGCCGGTGCCGGTGCCGGCGGTGGCACTCACGGCGGTGAAGTTCTCAGGGCCGCACTCCCGGCCACGGAAGCGGCAGCGCAGCAGCATGTCCGCGATGTCGTGCCCGGCGCGCCGGTAGAAGGCGGCCAGGTCGTAGCTCTTGCTGGGGAAGAACCCGTGGAGGTCGTGGGGCCGCCCCAGAGCCCGCAGGTAACGGGAGAAGTCGCGGCGCGGCACGGCCAGCAGCTCGGCGCCCAACCAGAACACGTCGTTGGCGGTGAGCCGCGAGCGCCGGGCGCGGTTGTAGTTGCAGAGGGTGACGGCGGGGAAGACGAGCGGGCGGCTCTCGGCCTCATCCAGCGCGGTGATGTGGGGGTACGCGCCGTAGTGCCCGATGCGCTCACCCGACTGCAGCAGGAAGGCGCCCAGCGAGGCCACGAAGGCTCCGGCCCAGAGCAGGCGGTGCGGGGCGGCAGCGCCGGGTGCGAAGACGTGCCGCAGGCCGTGCAGGGAGCTGGAGCGGGCGAAGGCCGCCAGCCCGGGGGCACCGCGAGCGCCGGCACCCGGCACCGCCGCCATGGTGCGCCGGGCGTCCTGCGGCACGGCTCTGCAGGGGGATTGGGTTTCAGGCCGGGCCGCGGGGACGCGGGGATGCGGGGACACGTGAGCGGGGCACAAAGCGCGGCGGTGCTCAGCCGGCACCGGCATCCAGCGGGACCCCGGCGCGCGCGGAGCGGGACGGCGGCATCCAAGGATCCGTGAGCGACCCGGCACCGAAAGCCTCGGCCCCGCGCCCCGCTCCCGGCTTCTAAACCCCGCTCTCGGCCCCTAAACCCCGAGCCCAGCCCGTGGGGTGAGCGGCCCCACGGAGCACCCGGCAGCCCTCCTATAGGGGCAGCACTGGGGGCTGTTGGCAGCCCAGCCGTCATCCCGGAGCCGCACGTGGCCGCACGCCCCCCCGTGCCCCCATCCTGCCCTGCCATGGGGGGAGGGTGGGGAGCGGCTGCTGCGGCAATGGAGCTCCCGAAGAGGGGAGCGGTTCCCATGGCAACGCTGCCCATCGCACGGGGAGGTGGCTGCCATGGCAACCGGCGGCCCAGCACCAGGATGCGCCAGGGACCGCGGGAGGGGAGACGGGGATGTGCCCCCGCACCGAGCGTCACCCACCCCACACCGGGAGCCCCAGCACACCCCACGGAACGGCCACGGGGGCACAACCCGGGCTGGGACATCTGCCACATGTGGGGAGCACGTGGCGCAGTCTTTGTCACCATAACAGAGCCTGGCACAGCTCAGGGCCCGGCAGGCAGGGTGCTCAGCCCGCTCAGCCACGCACCACGCCGTGCTTTTGGCCACTGAGTCACACCCGGGGGGGGCACGGCCATGTGCCCTATGGAAGCCTTGCCTCCAGGGCTCCACGTGTTCTGCTGCACTCGGGAACCCGGGAGGAGGCGGGGAGCAGCAGCCCTGAGTGTGCTGGCACAGGGGAATGGGCAGTGCGAGCCCGGCTCAGCTCCCAGCCCCCGGGGGGTCATTCACGCAGGAGATCATTTTCTGCTCTGAGAGCTTCATGCTGGCTGCTGCTCTGGTTGCACATCTGCCAGCTGCTGTGATGGGAGACGTGCAGTGCAGGACACGGTGCTGCCCCACTGAGTGCCTCTGTAGGTGTGTGTGCCCTGTGCCCACCATCCCCGTGTCCCCACACAGAACTGCGGGTCCCAGTGCCCGTCCCTGGGGGCAGAGCACGGTCACCGTGCGGCCCTTTGGCACACACAGAACCTCTGTCACGCACAGAACCTCTGGCACACTGTGGGGCACGGGAGCGGGCAGGGGGCAGTGGCACGGAGGGGACAGCTGTTCTCTGGGGTGGCAGCAGAGGGGACACGGAGCCACAGGGACTGGAGATGTGGGACTCTGAGTGCAGGCGGAGCTGTGGGGGCTGAGCAGAGGCACAGAGCCCAGCGCCTGCAGGTGGCTGTGGGGTGGGGGCACCGCTGGATGGCCACCAGTGGGATGCAATGGGAGCAATGGGGATGGAGCAACCCACGGCCCTCTGGTACCAAATCTCCCTGTGTCCAAACCCAGTGTGACACCCGTGGCCACAAGTGGGACTCCTAGCATTGGTGCCTGTGGCCACAGCGCAGAGCAGCGTGTGGCAGTGGGTCACAGTGTGGCCCTTTGGCACACATGGAGCATCCAACAGGCTGTGAGGCTCAGCAGCAGGCAGGCAGTGCCAGCAGTGGAAGGGGTGACCATTCCCTGGGGTGGCAGCAGAGGAGCCACGGAGCCACACGGAGTGGAGCAGTGGGGGCTGTGCGATGGCACAGCGTGGCTGCAGTGCAAAACCTGGGGTGGGCGCAGGGTGGGGGCACCGCTGGATGGCATGCAGCACGCAAACCATCAGTGGGGTGGATGGGAGAGGTGGGGATGGAGCTCACAGGGACCCTGTGGTGCCAAATTGTGCCGTGCTGAAATGCAATGGGAGAGATGGGGACGGAGCTCACCAGGACCCTCCAGCGCCGCGCCCCACCACGCCCAGCCCCGCAGCGACGCTGCTGGCCCCTCACTCACCACGCTGAAGTTGCGTGCGGAGCAGCCGGCGCCACGGAAGGAGCACTGCAGCAGCATGTCGGCCAGGTCGTGGCCGGTGCGGTTGTAGAACTCGGCCATGCTGAAGGGTTTGGCCTTGAAGTTCTTGAAGTTGGCCTTGTCGCGCAGCGCGGCCAGCACGGCGGGCTCGGCCAGCTGCGGGTTGCTGATCTCGTAGCGCTCGTTGAGCAGCGCCAGCAGCTCTCCCACGTGGTACATATCGTTGCGGGTGATCTTGGAGAAGCGGAACTCGTTGAGGTTGCAGATGGTGATGGCCGGGAAGGTGAGGTTGTGCGCGGCCACCTCGTCCAGTTTGGTGACGTGCGGGTAGGTGAGGAAATAGGCGACGCGCTCGGCGCACACCAGCAGCAGCAGCCCCAGCGCGCCCAGGAAGAACGCGCCCCACAGCGCCCGGCGCAGCGCCGCTCCGTACGCGAAGATGTGGCTGATGCCGTGCAGCGAGGAGCTGGAAGCGAACGCCCGCAGCCGCGACCGCGGCTCCGCGCCCCCCGCGCCCTCCCCGCCGCCCCTCATGCTGCCGCCCGCCCCCGCCCCATCGCCGCGGGAGGGACCGCCCCGGCCCCAAACCCGGCCCCGGAGCGCCCGCGGCCACCGGGATGCGGTTGCGGCTGCGCTGCCCGCGGGTTTCCCGCAGCGGGGGCGCGGTGCCCACCCCCCGCTTCCCCGGTCCGCCGCCTTCCGCCGGGGGTGCGGGGTGGGAGCTCCGGGAGGGGCCGCGCAGGGCTCCTCCCGCCCCCCCGGGCGGCGATGACGGGAGGGGTGGGGGCGCAGCCCCGTCCCTACGCTCCGTCCCCGGGTTGGAGCAGAGAGGCTCCCGAGGGCCCCACGGAGGGACCGAACCCGTTTCCAGCCGAAAGCGGAGATGGGGCCCACCCGGGGGTCCCGCCGTCCCCCGCCACACGCGGGGTACCGCAGCCGCAGAGCCCCGTGCCGGGCGGGGTCCCCCCCGCGGGTGTTGGGGTCCCGCTGCCTCCGTTCGGGACACCACTGCCCGCATCCCCACCCGGGGGCTCGGGAGGCCCCGGTGCCGCTGTGCCCCGTGGGGAGTGGGCTGGGACGGGGGAAGATGCGGCAGCGGATGGCGTAGCGGCCCCAGGACCACCCTGGGGATGGCGATCCTCTCCCGAGGAGGGCAGCTTGGTGCGAGGGCACAATGTGGGGCTGGGGGGGGCACACGACGCGACCCCCACCCCGGCGGTGCCGGAAAGCGGCGTGGAACTCCGCCATCCCCAATTGCCCCCATCCAGATCGCCAACCCCGCATCCCCGCTCCTATGGGGTTACCCTGCCCACACCCCGGCCGTACCCCGACCCTCCCCCTACGCCCGACGCCGCGCAGCTCAGCACACGCCCTGCTCGGTTCCGCCGTTTATTCCGTTCCGCGCTGCTCCGCCGCCTGCTGCCGCATCAGCTGCGCGTACAGCCCGCCGCGCCGCAGCAGCTCCTCGTGCGTGCCGACCTGCGGGGGTGATCACTGCGAGCCCCGCCCCACAAACCGCCTCCCTCGGAACCGACCCCCAACCCCCGCCTTCTTCCAATCCCCGCCCAACGTGGCTCAGACCCCTCCCCACCGACCCCCATCAAAGCCCCCCTCATCAGCCCCAGCGTACCCCAGCCGGAGCCTCCCTCCCCCCCGCTCACCTCGGCCACGCGTCCTCCCGCCAGCACCACGATGCGGTTCGCCCCCCGCACGGTGCTCAAGCGGTGCGCGATGAGCAGCACCGTCCGACCCCGCGCCGCCCTCTCCAACGCCGCCTGCACCGCGCGCTCCGCCTCCGCGTCCAAAGCGCTCGTGGCCTCGTCCAGCACCAACACGGCCGGAGCCTTCAGCAGCGCCCTCGCCAAAGCCACGCGTTGCCGCTGCCCTCCGGACAGCGCCGCCCCGCGCTCCCCCACCACGGTGCCGTAACCGTCGGGGAAGGCGCGGATGAAGGCGTCGGCGTCGGCCAGGCGAGCGGCCGCGAACACCTCCTCGTCCGACGCGCCCGGTTTGCCGAAGCGGATGTTTTCCATGATGGTGGTTCCGAACAGCACCGGTTCCTGCGGGGCGGCCGGGCGCTCGGCGCTCAGCGCTCAGCGCTGCCCCGGCCGGGCTGGACGGACCGCCCCCGCACCGCCCCGCACCTGGCTGATGAAGCCGATGACGCGGCCGCGCAGCCACGAGGGGTCCAACGAGGCGATGTCGCGGCCGTCCAACGTGATGGTGCCCCGTGTGGGCTCATAGAAGCGCTCCAGCAGTGCTGCCACCGTCGACTTCCCTGTGCCAAAGCATCACCACCGTGACATCATCACCGTGACATCACCGTCGTGACATCACTGCCATGACATCACCACCGTGACATCACCACGGTGACAGTGGTGCCACATCACCACGGCCCCATCCGGCACCATGGGATCGGTGCCCCTCATGGTTGCATCCCCTGGGGCCACCACGGCCACCTCCCTCTGGTGGCACGGGCTCCACGTCCCCATCGGCCCCAGTGCTGGTGCTGTGGGGTCGGGGCGCTGTGCCACAATGGGGGTCCCACACCCTGAGTGTCACCTCCTCCCGAGGGTCCCACGATGGCCACTGTCTCACCGGGGGGCAGCGTGAGGCTGAAGTCCTGCAGCACGGGATGCCCAGGGCGTGTGGGGTAGCTGTGGGGGGAGGCGAATGAGGGGCTGTGGGGCAGATCTGTGGGGCAGGGGGAGGGTTGGGGGGGGTCTGACCTGAAGGAGACGTGCTTAAAGGCGACCTGGCCCAGCAGGGAGTGGCTGGGGATGGTGTCCCCCCCCCGCAGCGGCACTTGGGGCTCCAATGTCATGAACTCAAAGACACGGGCGCCAGCACTCAGCCCACGAACCACCTGCAATGAGGGGGTGGACAAAGGCAGACAGAGTGTCCCCATCCCCATCCCCATCCCCATCCCCATCCCCGCCCTCCCCGGAAGCTGGGATCCTGCAGGATCCCCCCTACCTGCCCGAAGAGGATGGAGATGTTCGCCAGGGACCTGCGGACATGTGGGTGAGCTCAGGATGAGGTGCCATGGGGGGGATGGAACAGACATTGGAGGTGATAGAGCTGTGACGTGGGGGGGTGGCATGGGAGGGTGACACTGACCTCTGCACCGTCTGTGAGGCCACCAGGAACGACATGAGGTCACCAGGAGAGAGCTGATCCCCGGCCATCAGCGATCCGCCCACAAAGATGGTCCCCAGCACAATTCCTGTGGGTGTACGCTGCTCGTGGGGCCTGCCCCCCAATAGGCCCTGGAACCCCAATAGGTCCTGACTGCCCCAATAGGTTCTGTCCCCTAGAAAAGGTCCTGTCCCCCAGAAAAAGTCCTCAACTCCTCAAGAGGTCCTGACACCCCCAATAGGCCCTGCCACCCCAAAAAAGTTCTGACCCCCCCCAATAGTTCTTGGCCCCCAATACATCTTGGCCCCCAATAGGCCCTGCCCACCCACCCAATAGGTCCTGTAACCCTAATAGATCTTGACCCCCCCCAATAGGTTCTGGCCCCCAAAAAAGGTCCTCAACTCCTCAAGAACTCCTGATCCCCTCAATAGGATCTGCCACCTCAATATGTCCCACCCCCTTCATAGTTTCTGCCCCCTCAATAGGTCCTGACTCCCCCCCAGTAGGTCATGACCTCCCCAATAGTTCTTGGCCTCCAATAGGTCAGGCTCCCCCAAAACGTCCTGACATTCCTAATAGACCCTGCCACCCCAATATGTCCTGCCCCTCCCCCAACAGATCCTGCCACCCCAAAAACTTCCTGACCCCACCAATAGTTCTTGACCCCCAATGGGTCGTGCTTCCTCAATAGGCACCTCAAAAGGTCCTCAACTTCTTAAGAGGTCCTGATCCCCCCAATAGGTCATGTTCCCCCAATATGTCCTGCCACCCCAATACATCCTGCCACCCCAATAAGTTCTGCCCCCCAAAAAAGGTCCTCACCCCCTCATTAGGTTCTGCACACCCAGTAGGTCCTCACCCCCTCAATAGGTCCTGAGAACCAATAGGCCCTGCCACCCCAATAGGTTCTACCCCTCCAATAGGTCTTGACCCCCCCCAATAGGTTTTGCCACCCCAATAGGTTCTGCCACCCCAAAAAGGTCCTGACCCTCCCAATAGTTCTTGGCCCCCAATAGGTCATGCCCCCCAAATAGGTCCTGACCCCCCTCAATAGGCCCTGCCCCCTCCATGGGTCCCACATCCTTGCCCCCCCCCCCCAGCTCCTGCCCCCCACCCACTGACCGTTCAGTGCCAGGTTTGACAGTCCCTGGAAGGCAGCGATTCCCAGCCCCAGCCGTTGGCTCATCCCGCTGGAGCGCTCAGCCTCGGCGCAGTACAGCCTGCGGGCAGATGGGGGGGATGGTGGCAGGGAGGGGGAGTGAGGGGGGGGTCAACCGACGACAGCCCCCCCACGGCCGCACCGCCATCCTCACCCCGCCTGCTGCTCCTCCATGGCGAAGGCGCGCACGGTGCGCACGTTGCCCAGCACCTCGTCGGCCACCCCGGTGGCTTTGGCCACCTGTGCCAATGGGGGACACGGCTGCACACTGCGGGGCACCACAGGGATGGGGGTCCCTATATATCGTATCCCCCCACCCCCCAAAAACCCATTACCTGTTCCTGTGCCTGGCGGGACAGCGCCCGCAGCACGGAGCCCAGCGCGGTGCCGGCGCTCACCAACACGGGCAGCACCAGCAGCAGCAGCGCCGTGAGCCGTGGGGACAGCAAGTACAGGGACAGCACACAGCCTGCAGCCTGGGTGCTGCTGCGCAGGCCCTGCGGGGGGACACGGTGATGGGGGGGTGGGTACTGGGGGTACCGGAGGGGGGGGAGCAGTGCTGGGCCCCACCTGTGAGATGATGAGCTTAAAGGAGGATTTGAACTCCTGCACGTCGGCTGTCAGCCGTGCCACCAGCTGCCCCGTGCGGTGCGCATCGAAGAACGCCACGTCCTGCCTGGGGGTGGGGGCTGCAGCCACTCTGCTGCCGTGTGCCCCCCCCCCGGGGTGCCCCTCATCCCCACACGTCCCCCATCTCGGTCTCCATGTCCCCTCTGACTGTGTATCCCCATGTGCCCCCCGTCCCCCTGTGCCCCCCAACCCGGTGTCCACCACATCTCCACACCCCCATCCACGTGTGCCCCCATCTCCTCTGTCCTCACATCCCCCCAGCTCCACACCCTCCATCCTTATGTCCCACACAACCCCATGTCACCCCTGCCCCTATGTCCCCCTGTCCCCATTTGACCCCCGTCCCATGTCCACCGCACCCCCACGTCTGCCCCACCTCTGTGTCCCCCTTTCCACACTGCCTCCCATATCCCTGCTGCTGTGTGCCAACTGTCCCCACAGCCCCCATATCTCCATGTCCCCGTGTGCCCCTGCCCCATGTCCCCCTTGTCTCCATGTCCCCTGATCCCCCGCCAAGCCCCTCAGCTCCCTGTGTCTCCTTTCCTCACATCCCCCTGTCCCTCTGTGCCCCCATGCGCCCGCCCTACCGCAGCAGGGACACAAAGAGAGCTTTCCTCATGCTGGCAGCCACCTGCTCCCCAACGCGGGACAGCAGAGCGATGTACCCGAAGGTCAGCAGTGCCTGTGGGGTGCGGGGTCAGTGTGTGGGGTCAGGCTGTGGGTCGGGGTATGGGTCTGGGCATGGGGTGGTGCCCACCTGCAGGCTGTAGAGGCCGAGCAGGCGCAGCGCAGGGGGGCGGGCGGCGTGCAGGTACCCCTCCAGGTGGGTCCGTGCCCCTCGGGCCACCACGTCCACCAGCTGCCCCAGCAGCACCGGGATCTGCACATTGAGCAGCGCTGCGCCCAGGGCGAGCTGTGGGGTGGGGGGGACAGAGAAACTGGTGTGAGTGGGGCGGGGGGGGTGGGGTTGGATTGGGTGAGGTGGAATGGAATGGATTGGGGTGGGGTGGGGACAGAGAAACAGGTGTCAGCGGGATGGGATGGGATGGGATGGGATGGGATGGGATGGGATGGGATGGGGTGGAGTGGGGTGGAGTGGAGTGGAGTGGAGTGGAGTGGAGTGGAGTGGAGTGGAGTGGAGTGGAGTGGGATGGGGTGAACCTCAAGTGGACATGGGGATGGGATGGGGATAAGGACAGGGATGGGGACGGAGATAGGGATGAGAACAGAGATGGGAATGAGGATATGAATGGGAATGGAACATGGGTAACAACGGGGACAAGGAGGGGGACAGAGAAACAGGCATCAGTGGGATGGGATGGGGTGGGATGGACACCAGAAATATGAACATGGACATGGGGATAAGGACAGGGATGGGGATGGACACAGGAATGAGAATAGGGATAGGAATGAAGAAATGAATGGGAACAAGGACACGGATAACAGCGGGGACAGGGATGTGAATTGGGACGGGGACAGGGACGAGACAGGGAAAGGGAGCGGGGACAGAGAGAGGGACGGGGATAGGGATGGGACGGGCGTAGGGACGCAGACAGGGACAGGAATGGGGACGGGACCCCGCGGTGACCCCCCGCTCACCACGACGGCCGCCGACAGCGCGAGGAGCTGCGGTCGCAGCAGCGCCCAGAACGTCGCCCATTGGAACTCGGGTTCAGGGAGCGGAGCGGCGGGGACGGCGGCGGGGACGGAGCGGCCGCGGCTCTCCTGGCACCGCGCTGCCGCCCCCAGCGCCGCCCCCACGCAGCCCAACGCCAACCCCGCCGGGACGAGGAGCGGTGCGGGGCGCAGTGCGGGTCGCGGTGCGATGAGCGGTGCGGGTCGCGGTGCGGAGCGGAGCGCGGACCCCCCATTCCTGCAGCTGCGGAGCTGCCGTGAGCGTCCATCCCGGGCACTGCGCCCACCTCCTCCCGCCCCCACCCCCCCGCCCGGTACCTGCTCAGCGCCGCCCGCACCGCCAGCAGCCGGCAGCCCGCCCGCCCCGCACTCAGCAGCAGCATGGCGGCCCCGCGGAAGGGGCGGTGCGGGGGGCGGAGCTGCACGGCGCGGCGCCGCCACCTCCGGCCGAGACCCCGCGCCGCTCCCCGCGCCCCGCAGCGCGGCGCGTCCCCAGAGACCCCAGCCCCCCCCGTCCCGCAGCCCCGCGCGGTGCGGGATCGCGGCCATGGCTCCAAGGGGGGTGCGGAGCCCGGGCCGGGCTGTGCGGGGCGCAGACTGAGTGCGGGGCGCGGCGGGGCAGCAGGTGAGAGCGGGAGAGGGACGCGGGGACGCTCAGACGGGGACGGACGGTCGGATAGGGGACACCGCGACAGGGGGACAGCGGGACACACGGACACGGGGACACACGGACACGGGGACAGCGCGAGATGGGGAAGACGGGGGATGAGGACATCGCGACATTTGGACACGGGGACACCGGGGCACGGGGACACCTGGACGTGGGACACGCGGACACGGGGTCAGTTGGGCACGGGGACAGCGGGACACCGGGACAGTGGGACGCGGTGCCACGGGGATGCGGGCACACGGGACCCACGCGCTGCTCCTACCGCAGCCCCCCCGGGGTGGGCACGCGTCCTCGCGTCCGTCTCCACTGAGCGCAGCGTCACCGCGTGTCCCCGGCTGCGCGCCGTGACCCCCACGCGCGTCCCGGGGGGGTTCCGTGGTGCCGCTCCCCCCCCCCGCGCCGCCCGCTCTATTTTTGGCCGCGGAGTATTTTCGGTGCGGGGGGGCCGCGTCCCGGAGCGGGGACACCCGATGCCGTGGGGGGGTCAGCGCGGGGACAGCGCGTCCCTGCGGCCCCGCACCGCCCGCTGCTGAATCACTGCCCGGGACGGGACGGCCCACGCGCGTGGGGCGGTGCCGCGGATCCACCTGCGGGTCCGGTCCGGCTCTGCCTCACGCGGGACGGGACCGACGGCGTCTGCGGAGCGGCGGTACGGGGCGGGGGGGTCCGACCCGGAGTGAGAGGGGGGTCCCGATGCGGCCCGACGGGTGGGGGTCCCACTCTATGCCAAGCGAACTGGGGTCATGGTGCTTCAGGAGGCGGGGGGGGGGGGGGGGGGGGGGGGGGGGGGGGGGGGGGGGGGGGGGGGGGGTGTCCCGTAGTCCCCCAGGGGCTCTCCGGTCCCTGCCCGCTGGGGGGGTCCTGTGGGTCTCCGCATCCTTCCCCAGAGTTCCAGGGGTCCCATCCTGCTTTGGGGGTGGACAGCTGTGGGATGTTCTGTGGGTCCCATCCTGCCCCACGCTATGGGGGTCCCGTCCTGCCCGAATGTTCTGTTTCATATTAATAGGGATTCCATTCTATCCAAACGAGTCCGGGGGTCTCGTCCTGCCTTGGGGGTCCCATCCTCCCTGGGGAGCTGGAGGTGCTCCGGGAGTCCCATCCTTCTCCAAAGTTCTGGGGTCCATCCTTCTGGGGGGGTCTCGGGGATCCCATCCTTCCCCAGAGAAGGGGTCTGGGCTCCCATCCTTCCAGGGAGGGTTTTGGGAGTCCTCTCCTGCCCCAAGAGCTCTCTGTCTCATCCTGCTGGGGGAATCCCATCCTTCCCCCGGGATCTGGGGATTCCCACCCTGCCTGGAGGGGGGGCCGTGGGGGTCCCTTCCTTGCCAGATCCCCGCGCTCCCCGGCACGTCCCGCCCGCTCCCTGTGGCCGCGAGGCTGTGGGCGCGTCGGAGAGACGGGACGGATTGCGTGGCTCTGCCCCGCGGGGCACTGCGGGTGACAGCTCACGGCATCCCGATGCGGGGCACGCGGGCGGTGCGTTGCGGCGTCCCCGGCATTTCCTGCGGGGCGACAGCTCACGCGCACGGCGCGGCGTGGGGCGGGGGAGGGAACTCCGTGCCACCCCACAACCCCCGTGCCCACATCGGGTGTCCCGCACTGGGGTTCCTATCGCGGGGGTCCCGCGTCGTTGCCCCCCCCGCAGGTGCGATGACGGAGGCTGAGTATCACCGCGTGGAGGACCCCGAGGAGGATTCCCCCCCGGGTGAGGAAGAGCTGCTGCTGCACGTCACCGAGGGGCGGCAAGGTGGGCACTTTGGGGGCGTCACAGGATGGGAGGGCACTGAGGCACGGCCCCGCTGAGCCCCCCCCGGTGTTTCTCCCCACAGGCTCCTGGCATCACATCAAGAACCTGGATGATTTCTTCACCAAGATATCCTCGCTGGGCGCTGTTCCCACCGGGGGGGTGGGGGTGGAACTGGGGGGGGTGGCACACGGGCACGATCCTTAACAGCCCCAACATCTACCACTTCCACCAGAAGAACGGCTTCGCCTGCATGCTGCTGTCAGACCTCTTCGAGCTGGGGTGAGCGCTGCGCCGCGCCGCACGGCGGTCCCTCCCCCCTCCTCCTCCCCCTCCCTTCCATGGGGCACCCCCTGACCCCCCCGCGCCCCCCAGGCAGTTCGTGTTCGTGGTGGCCTTCAGCGCGTTCCTGCTGTGCTGTGTGCGCTACGATGTGCTCTTCGCCGACCGACCGCTCAACCGCAGCCACGTTCCCCCCGAGCGCAGTAAGGTGACGCTGCCCGACGCGGTGCTGCCCGCGCCCCAGTGCGCACGGAGGTGACTGGGGGGGCTGTGGGAGGGAGGAGGAGGGCGTGGGGATGGGACACCCCCGTAAAGCCGCGCCTCTCCTGCAGGATCGCTGCCAGCGGTTGGCTCGTCTTCCTGCTGGCCATGGCGGCGTTGTTCTGGCTGTGCCGCCTGCTGAAGGTGCTGCGCGGACTGCTCGCCTACTGGGACATCCGCCGCTTCTACGGGGAGGCGCTGCGCATCCCCGCGGTGAGTGGCACGGAGGGGATGCCAGTGGGACGGCAGTGCCGGTGCCGGGGTGTCGGTTCCATCGAGGTACTGCTGGTGCCACGGCGGTGCCGGTGCCGTAGGGGTGCCGGTGCCGTGGGGATGACGCGCCGATGTGGGGACACCAGAGCCGTGGGGACGCCGGTACCATGCCGGTGCTGATGCAGGGACACCAGAGCCGTGGCTTGTCGGTGCCAAAGTGAGGATGCCGGTGCCATGGGGGCGGTGCCGGTGCCGCGGCGATGCTGGATGTCACCACAGGGGCGCCGGTGCCGTTGAGTTACCAGTGCCACAGCGGTGGTGTTGGTGCCACAGGGTGCTGGTGCCAATGTGGGGACAAGGTTTTCCGTTGCCGGTGCTGTGGCAGTGCCTGGGCTGATGCAGGGACTGTGGTGCCATGGAGGTGTCGGTGCCGTGGTGGTGCTGGTGCTATGTGGGTGGCAGTGCCGATGTGGGGACATCAGTGCTATGGTGGTGGTGCCGGTGCCGTGGTGGTGCTGGTGCCGATGTGGGGACACCGATGCCGTGGTGGTGCCGACGATGCATGGCAACGTGCCGAGGAGCCCCCAGTGACCCCCCCATGTGCTTGGCGCAGGGCGAGCTGTGCAACTACAGCTGGCAGGAAGTGCAGGCGCGGCTCATCGCCCTGCAGCGCGAGCAGCAGCTCTGCGTGCACAAACGGGAGCTGACGGAGCTGGACATCCACCACCGCATCCTGCGCTTCAGCAACTACACCGTGGCCATGGTCAACAAGTCGCTGCTTCCCGTGCGCTTCCGCCTGCCTCTGCTGGGCCCCGTCGTCTTCCTGACTCAGGGCCTGCACTACAACCTGGAGCTGCTGCTCTTCCGCGGCCCCGGCGCGCTCTTCCTCAACTCCTGGAGCCTGCGGCCGCAGTACAAGCGGGCGGGCGAGCGGCTGGCGCTGGCACGACGCCTGGCACGCAGCACTGTGCTGCTGGGAGCCGCCAACCTGCTGCTGTGCCCGCTGGTGTTGGTCTGGCAGCTGCTCTACGCCTTCTTCAGCTACGCCGAGGTGCTGCGGCGGCGGCCGGGCGTCCTGGGCACGCGGCGTTGGTCGCTGTACGGCCGCCTCTACCTGCGGCACTTCAACGAGCTGCAGCACGAGCTGACGGCACGGCTGGGCCGCGGGCACCGCCCGGCCACGCGCTACATGAACTCCTTTGCCAGCCCCGTGCTGGCCGTGCTGGCACGTCATGTCGCCTTCTTCGCCGGCTCCGTGCTGGCCGTGCTCATCGCGCTCACCGTGTACGACGAGGACGTGCTGACGGTGCAGCACATCCTCACTGCCATCACGCTGCTGGGGCTGCTGCTCACCGTCGCCAGGTGGGTGCACTGCATGGCACTGTGCTCTGCTGTGTTGCGCCATGTTGGGCCATGCCATGCCATGCTGTGCCACGTTGTGCCATGCTGTGCCATGCCATGCCGTGCCGTGCCATGCTGTGCTAAGCTGTGCTGTGCCGTGCTGTGCCACATTGTGCCATGCTGTGCTAAGCTGTGCCATGCTGTGCCACACTGAGCCACATTGTGCCATGCTGTGCCATGACATGCCATGCTGTGCCACGTTGTGCCATGCTGTGCTATGCTGTGCCATGCTGTGCCACATTGAGCCACATTGTGCCATGCTGTGCCATGACATGCCATGCTGTGCCAAGCTGTGCCATGCTGTGCCATGACATGCCATGCTGTGCCACGCTGAGCCACATTGTGCCATGCTGTGCCACATTGTGCCATGCTGTGATGCGTTGTGCCATGCCGTGTCACACTGTGCAGTGCCGTGTCTCACTGTGCCATGCTATGCTGCAATGTGCCATGTTGTGCCACGCACTGCTGTGCCATGCCATGCTGTGCTGTGCCACACTGTCCAGTGCCATGCTGCACTGTGTGCTGTGCCTTGCTGTGCTGTTCTGTGCCATGCTGGGCCGTGTTGTGCCATTCTGAGCCATGATGTACCATGCTGTGCCATGTTGTGCCATTCTGTGCATGACATGCCATGCTATGCCATGTTGTGCCATGCTGTGCCGTGCTGCTGCACACCATGCTGTGCTGTGCCACGCCGTGCCATGCTGTACCTGCCGTGCGGTGCTGTGCCACGTCACGCCAGGCCATGCCCCCCCCGCAGGTCATTTATCCCCGACGAGCACTCGGTGCAGTGCCCGGAGCAGCTGCTGCAGCGCGTCCTGGCGCACACGCACTACATGCCGCAGCACTGGCAGGGCAGCGCCGGCGCGGCGGAGACGCGCACCGAGATGGCCCAGCTCTTCCAATACAAAGCGGTGAGTGCGGGACGGCGCAGCGCAGCCCGGAGCCCCGCCGCCCCCTGAGCCCTCCGCCCACCCGCAGGTGTTCATCCTGGAGGAGCTGCTCAGCCCCATCCTCACGCCGCTCATCCTCATCTTCGCGCTGCCCTCCCGCGCTCTCGACATCGTCGACTTCTTCCGTAACTTCACGGTGGAGGTGGTGGGCGTGGGGGACGTCTGCTCCTTCGCGCAGCTGGACGTGCGCCGCCACGGGAACCCGCAGGTGAGGGGTCGGGTGGGGGGCACGGCCGTGTGCCAGCCCGCGCTCACCCGCCGCCCACCCGCAGTGGCTGTCGGAGGGGCAAACGGAGGCCTCCGTGTACCAGCGGGCGGAGAACGGCAAGACGGAGCTGTCGCTGATGCACTTCGCCATCTCCAACCCGCGCTGGCAGCCGCCGCCGCACAGCGGGCTGTTCCTCAGCCACGTGAAGGAGCGGCTGCAGAGGGATGCGGCCCCGCACGGCCCGGCCGAGGGCGCACTGCGTGCATCCCTGCTTGGGGACGGCTCCGCTGCGGTGAGGGCGTTGGGTGTCATGGGGACACTGGGGGTGTGGAGGTCACTGGGAGCTGAGAGGGCACTGGGCGCTTGGGGGACATCAGGAGCCCCACATGGGGATATTTGGTGCTGTGGGGGCACTGGGTGCCATGGGGACATTGGGTGCCATGGAGACACTGGGTGCCATGGGAACATTGGGAGCATAGGGGACACTTGGTGCTGTGGGGGCACTGGGTGCCATGGGGACTTTGGGGACACAGGGGGCACTGGGAGCTGAGAAGGTACTGGGCACTGTGAGGGCATTGTGTGCTGTGGGGCCATTTGGTGCTTTGGGGATATTTGGTGCTTTGGGGATATTTGGTGCCATGGGGACACTGGGTGCCATGGGGACATTAGATGCTGTGTGGACACAGGGCATTGTGGGACCAATTGGTGCTGTGGGGACATTTGGTACCATGGGGACACTGGGTGCCATGGTGTCACCGGGTGCCCTGTTGGCACTGATGTGGTCCCCACAGCCGGACGCCCTGCTCACCAGTGTCCTGGCCCACCCACTGCTGGCGGCCAGCGGTCTGGTGCCCCGGGACCGGCGCTTCACCCAGCCCTGCAGCACAGCCAGCGCTGCTGCCAGTGTCCTGCTGTCCCTGTCATCCCCACTGCCTGGGAGGGGACACGGCCCTTTGGAGAGCCCTGAGCGCCCATTGCCCGAGAGGTGCTGTGGGGATGGGATGGGAATGGGGATGGGATGGAATAAGGATGGGGATGGGGATTGGGATGGGGATGGTGATGGGATGGAGTAAGGATGGGGATGGGGATTGGGATGGAAATGAGATGGGATGGGGGCTGGTGGCAATTTTGGTCATGTGAGGTTGGAGCCAGTGGGTGCCCATGGGGTGGGCGCTGGGCTGGGTGCTTCTCCCCATACCAGAGCCGTGCCGTCCCACAGCCCAGTGCTCAGTGAGTCGCGTCTGCTCAGCCTGAGCCGCTCAGCCGTGCTGGCCGAGGTGGCCTCTGCCGAGATGAGCCTGCATGCCATCTACATACACGAGGTGAGCACCCCAGGGTGCACGGCCCCATCCCTGCCATCGCCCGTCCTCTGCCCTGTCCTGCACCCTTGGTTCTGTCTGGCCGTCACCTCACGCCCCCACCCCCACCCCCACTTGGCCATCAGACCCCTCCACCCCACCAGTGTGCCCCATGGCGCAGCCGGGCTGTGGGGCAGCGGCGAGACTCTGACCCTTTCCCCCCAGCTCCACCTGCAGCAGCAGCAGAGCCCTGTGGGGCTGTGGGCGGCGGCAGGGGCTCCCAAGAGGCCCTCGGTGACCACAGGTGAGTGCTGCTGGGGGTGGTGGGGGCTCCCAGACCCACACGGGGCTGTGGGGCACTGACCCGCCCTGCGCCAGGCTCGGCCGCCCGCGCCTCGCAGCACGAGCTCCGGGAGATGCCGCTGGGTGGCTGGGCTGAGGAGGATGAGGAGGATGAAGATGAGGAGGAAGAGCAGACGACGAGGTAGCTGTGCTGCATGCAGCTCTGGTGAGCGCAGCCCCGGCTCCGGAATATCGGTGCCCACTGGAGGATCGTCTGGGGGTCTGCCCATGGGGACCCCCATCCAGCTGCATCCCCACGCAGTGTGGGGCCGTGGTGCTGCTGGGTGCTCCCGCCCCCCCCAGGTGCTATATTTATATGGGGGGCATGACACTGTGGGGTGCAGCTCTGAGCCCATGTGGGTCAGGGCCCCCCCACCTGCTGTGGTCATGGTGGGGGCAGTGCTGGGCCCTGAGCAGCCCCGGGGGCAAATAAAGGTTTACAGAGTGTTGTGCTGTGCTGAGTGCTGCAATGGGGCTGGAAGCCGGGGGGACACTGCAAGCTGTGGGGGCACTGAGGGCCATGAGGACATCGGGGACAGTGCTGGGTGTTGTGGGGGGCAATGCTGAGGACACTGCTATGGATATCCATAGTGTTTCGGCCATAGGACGCTGTGGGTGCATGGTGATGTGCCACCCCACACCCACCCCACATCGCAGCCCCCAGCCCCACTGGGACGCAGGACGCCAGGCCGGGCTTATCAAAACTAAACCTTTACGGGGCGGGCGCAGCCCACAGCACAGGGTGGTGGGGGTCAGGGGGCTGGGCCCGGTGCTGGGCGCTCCTGCATGGAGAAGGATTGGCTGCGGATGCGGAACGCCACCTCCTGCGTGCGGAACGTCAGCCCGAAGATGTCCTCGTGGTACCGGTTCTTGTCCTGTGGTGAGGTGGCACCGTGGGGGCAGCGGGCCATCCCTGTGCCGTCCCCATGCCATCCCCACCTCATCCTTGTGCCAGCCTCATCCCATCCCATCCCCACCCCATCCCCATCCCATCCCTGTGCCATTCCCATGCCATGCCCGCACCATCCCCATTCCATCTCCACACCATCCCCACCCCATCCCTGTGTCATCCCCCCCCCTACTCATACTATCCCCACCCCATCCCCATCCCCACCCCATCCCCATGCCCATACCCGCAGCTCGCTGATGAAGTCCCCCGCCTGCCCCATGGTCATTCCTCCCTGCTGCACCAGGATGTGCTGCACGGTCTGCAGCACCTCGGTGGCCATCGTCACGTCCCCGCACACATACATGTGCCCCCCGCACTCGCACAGCACCTGGTGCACCTCCTCTGCCAGCTGTGTCCGCAGCACGTCCTGCACGTAGGTCTGGGGGGGGGTGAGACCCTCCTGGCCTCCCCCTGCCCCCCTTCTGCCCCCATTCCCACCTCTGCCTGTGTCTCCATCCCCCCACCCTTGGCTCCACGCTCATTCCCACCCCTGTCCCCTCAATGTCCCCATCCCACCTTTGCTCCATCCCTCCGTGCACCTCCACCCCAAATTGTCCCTGCCTCATTTCTGTCACTTATGCTTATCCCCATCCCACCCCGCTCCCCATCTCCATTTGTCCCTTTCTGTGTCTCCTTTCCCGTCTCCATTCCCATCCCCATCCCACTCCCAGCTTATCCCCATCCCATCCCATCCCATCCCATCCCATCCCATCCCATCCCATCCCATCCCATCCCATCCCCCCACCTTTGGGGTTCCCGGCTCACGGGAGAACGCAGTGAGGACGCGGCTGAGCGCTCCCTGCTCCCGCGCCTCCTCCATCTCATGCTGGTAGATGTGATCCAGCTCAGAGGATCGGCACCCAAACACCAACACCATGCTGCCCAGCGGGCTGCCTGCAGGGACACTGTGTTGGGACCTCTGCCCTCACGTTGCCACCTCCACCCTCCGCACTGTGTCCCCACATCCTTGACCGTCCCTTCCATGTCCCCAACCCCATCCCCACATCCCCATGTCCCCCTGTGTCCACCCATGGCACCCACATCCTCCCCACCCCCACACCATATCCCCCCATGTCCCTGTGGAGGTGTCCCCGTGCCCCATGCAGGCTGTCCCCATGCCATATGGGATGCCTGGTGCCCCCATGCGCACTGTCCCTCTGCACCGCATCCCCGCACAGGGTGACCCCACGTCCCAACACGTGATGCCACACATCCCCCTGTGCAGCATCCTCACACAGCGTCCCTCTGCACGACATCCCAGTGCCTCATGTCCCACACAGGACCCCCCCACGTCCCATACATGATGCCCCATGTCCCCACGTGGTGTCCCCACCTCCTGCCTGCAGGTGCTGCAGGCGCTGCTGCCAGAAGCTGCGGAATGGGGCCACGCCGGTGCCCGGCCCCACAAGGATGCATGGCGCCTCGGGAGTGGGGGGTGGCCGGAAGGAGGGTGCTCTGGGGGGAGGCAGACAGGGAGGGGTCACAGTGGGGTCGTGGTGGGGTCATGGTTAGGGCTGGGGTCAAGGCCAGGGTCAGGATCTCAGGTTGGGGTCAGGACCAGGGTGAGGGTTGGGTTGGGGTCGGGGTAGTGTCAGTGTTGGGGTCAGGGTCTGGATTAGGGTCAAGGTCAGGGCTAGGGCCAGGGTTGGGGTTAGGGGAGATATTAGGATAGGGGTCAGGGTTAGTGGGGGCACATGGAGGGATGGCTTGTGGACTGAGTGGGCACCGGTACCCAGCAGGGACAGAGATGTGCTGGGACACAAAGGGTGTTGGGGGTGGGACAATGGGGCGTGCGTGGAAATAACCTTTTGCATGCTGGGAAGTGTTGTTTTGAGGCTAAAGCACCTCGGCGTGCTGGGAAATGCAATTTGGGGGCAGTGAGGCATGCTGGGAAATGCAGTTGTGGGGCACGGAGGGATGCTGGGATGCGCAGTTCTGGGATTGAGGCACCGAGGCATGCTGGAAAGTGCAGCTGTGGGGCACTGAGGCATGCTGTGGGGTGCAGCCATGGGGGGCGGAGGGGTGATCCTCACCCCCGGATGAAGGCAGGCACTGTGTCCCCGGGCTGCAGCCGAGCCAGCCAGGTGGAGCAGACGCCGTAGTGCACCGGGCCCTGCCCGTCTGTGGGGTGAAAGACTTTTGGGGTGCTGGGCAATGCCAGACCCACAGGGGCGTGGGGATCCCCAAGTGCATGGGGACATGGGCTGTCATGGGGACACGGAGTGGCCGTGGGGTCATGGGGGTCACATGGGGTCATGGAGAGGCCATGGGGACATAGGGGTGACATGGGGAGATGCTGAGATGCTATGGGGTCATGGAGAGGCCATGGGGATGTGGGGGTACATGGGGACACAGAGTGGCCATGCAGACACTGGGATGCTTTGGGGTCATGGAGGGACTATGGGGACATGGGAATGTCATGGGGACACAGAGGGGTCATAGGGACACAGAGATACCATGGGGTCATGAGGGGCCATGGGGACACGGAGAGGCCACGCAGACATGGAGGTGTCCCGGGGACACAGCAGTGCCATGGGGACATGGAGAGGCTATGGGGACGTGGAAGAGTCCCGAGGATATGGAGAGGCTGTGGGGGCAGAGGTGCTACAGGAACACGGAGAGGCCGTGGGGATTGGAGGTGCCTGTGATGTGGGGGTGCCCTGGGGGCATCCAACCCGGGGCGAACCCCAATGCAGCGCTGTGCAGCCCCGCCCCCTCCTCCTCCCCCCCTCACTCTCGCTCTGGTAGGTGACCACGGCCACGGTGAGGTCGATGCGTGCGTTGCTGGGGTCGGGCGCGGAGCTGACGGAGTAATAGCGGGGCTGCAGCAGCGGCAGCTGGGAGAGCAGCAGCGAGGCGGGCAGCCCCACGGATGGGAACTCCTGCAGCACCTCCAGCAGGGTGGGGCAGCGGAACCACTTCCAGTCCTCGTACAGACGGGCGTCCTGCAGCACGCACCCGTGGCACGGCAGGCACCGTGCAGCAGGGCCAGCAGCCCAGCACCCAGCATGCCAGTACCGCAACACCCCAACAGCCCAGCAGCCCAGTATCCGGAATCCAACATCCCCATAGCCAGAATTATAGTACTCCAGTATCTGGACACCCCAGCACCCCAGTATCCAGGTAACCAGCAGCCCGGTACCCCAATGACTCGCTATTGAGCATCCCAATACTGCAGCACCCCAGTACTGTCCCACCACCATGTTGTCCCTGCATCCCATACTGAGCATCCCAGCTCTTCCCTATCCCAGTACCCAGCATCCCATACCCAGCATCTCATATCCAGCATCCCGTATCCAGCATCTCAGCACCTCCCCATACCAGTATCCAGCATCCTGGTACTTCAGTGCCTAGCGCTTCAGCATCCCCCTATCCAGAACCCCACCACCCCAGTATCCCAGCACCTCATATCCCCCTATCTAGCCCTAATCCCAGCCCCCCATTTCCCAGCCCCCACCCCACAAGCAGGGGGCACTGCACCCCAAATCCTCTCTGGCAGGAGCTGTGTTTCCTAGTGCGCGGCCACTTGGAGTCCCAGCCCCCTGCTGTCAGCCCACTCCCTTCCCCAGCCCTCCCTCCCCGTGCCCCGTGCCCACCTGGCTGAGCTGCTGCAGACGCTCACGGTCGGCCGGCTCCCGTGCCAGTGTGGCCAGCAGCTGCAGGAACTGGGGGCTCGGGGGGGCCGTGATGTCCAGGAAGGAGCTGAGCGCCTGGCGCAGCGAGCAGGGGGGCAGGCGGCTCTGAGGCACCCAGCTTTTGGGGCCGGGGAACCGGCCTGTGGGATGGGAGGTGGTGGGCACATGGATGGGGATGGGAGAAGAGATTGAGGGGGAGGATGGAGATGGGGACAGAGAGGGGGAAGGAGATGAGAAAAGGGAAGGGGAATGGGAAGGGAGAGGAGAGGGTGGGATGGAGAAGGGAAAGAGAATGGGGAAAGGATGGGGAAGGAGAAAGAAGTGGGATGGAGAAATGGATGAGGAAGGAGATAGGGATGACGACTGGGATGGGATGGGGACAGGACGGGAGGAAGGGGGGGAAGGAGAGGGTGCTCTGCCCAGGGAGGAGTGGGCACTGTGCTACATCAGCATCCCCGTTCCCATGCAGCCTCAGTGGGGTCCTGCTCAGCCGCACCCCCACACAGGGCCCAGCCCCGAGCTCCCTACCGCTGCTGTCCTTCTCCAGGACCTCCACCAGCACGGGCTCGTCGGCGGGCGGTGGGTCCTCCACGCACTCCAGCAGCTCCTGCACCAGCTCGGGGCGGTTGGCAGGGAAGACTCCCAGGTGGTCCCCAGGCAGGTACTGCAGCTCCGGCTGCCCTGCCGTGTCCAGGCGCACCAGCATGGTGGCACGGCTGGGTGGGACAGTTGGCACGGCGTGAGCAAGGCACCCTGGCTCACCTGGGGGCAGTGGGGTCTGAAGGTGCCCATGGCTGCTGTCCTGCCCCAGAGGGGCTGGAAGACCCTGTCCCCATCCGCAACCCATCTCCACCCCACCCCAGTCTGGGCACACAGCTGCATGGC